ATTTGTCTTTAAAAGTGTATTAAATTCTATCTAGTTTCTAAGTTGTCTGCAGTATTTTAAAACTGCTTGGGGAATATACAGTAGGTTGTTTTTCCTAAGCAATTACAATTTTGTATGTCACTGAAACTCAATCTACTGCTAACTATAAGGAGAACCATTCCGATCCCTGTATCCCACATGATTCAACGAATGCTTAAAGAGCTGTCAAACACTCTAGCTGTTTTCTGTTCTATCCCACTGCACACAGAAGAAAAAAAATGACAGACCATGAGAATCCTGCAAACTTCTAACTACCACATTTACTTGAATCTACAATTCAGCATGGGGAGAAAAGCCCCTTGTCTTGGATTTGAGTAAAAAAGTGGTGGTGGGGGGAGGGGTGCAGGGGGGACAGGTTGCCGCTGTGATTCTAGCTTCATCCCAACCAGGGCCCCAAGTGTCATAGCTACTGCCCTCCCCTCCTCCCCACACTGCTCTGCCACCTTTGCTTTGGGCCATCCTGTCCCCCATGCACCTCTGCTCCCCACCATGCCATCTAACTTCCCCTCCCTGCCACTGCTGCTTACCCTGAATTGTGGCTCTGGCCATGCTGCAGCAAGGGGTTGGAGTCAGGCTGCTTGACTCCCCTGCTGTGTGCTTTCCTACCATCTACTGCCCCCTTTTTGCCCCCCTGGTTCTGTTTGCCCTGTTGCAGCAGTGTGGGGGACAAATTTTAAGATGACCCTTCATATATACATGGAAATTTATGACAAATGTATAATTTTGGAATGTATAGAATCTGATTACTTGGGGTGGAAGGGGTGTCTTAAATTGAAATAGTCTTGAATTCAGGTAAATGTAGTATACGCACTTAACTTTCTGCAATATGCCTGAGACTATTTGCCATGCTTAGAGTTAAGGCTTTCAGCCTGCAGGTTTAAATTGCCTTTTAGTGAGGTATTTCTATACATGAGTAAAAATAACAGAGCCAGGCTGTAAGAGTACATTCTCTGTGTTTTGATAATTACTGGAATGCAATGAAAAAGTACTGGAAGTTGCCTTACTGTTAACTCTGCCTCTTGCTCTTTTCAAGATGCTTGCTATGACTTTGGTGGTGGGGAAGGGGTGGGAATGGAGAAGAAGCCTTTTGGCACTGACCCTACCTCTCCAAGTTGCCCTCAGATTATAGCACAGGGCTAAAACCACGATGGTGGAGCCCTAGACTAATGGGGAACCTACATCCAGAATTGCTTTAAACTGATCCTGAAACACTAGTTAAATTACAAGCTTATATAAAATGACAGTATCAGAAAAGTCACTGATAGCCATTAATGTCATATAGCTCTATTTAGCACCTATCAGTTTCATAGTAGCTAGGTTCAGGAGGGACCTGAACAGATCATCTAGCCTGACCCACTACCACAGGCAGGAATGAATGCTGGGTTCACAAGACCCCAGACAGGTGATCGTCCAACCTCCTCTTGAATTTGCCCAAGGTAGGGGCGAGGACTACTTCCCTGGGAAGTGGGTTCCAGCTTTTGGCCACCCTAACTAAAATATTTCCTTCTGATCTCTAACCCAAACCTATTCTCCATCAGCTTATTGCCATTGTTCCTTGTCACCCCAGGTGGTGCTGGGGAGAAAAGGGCTCTGCCTATTCGCTGTTGATCTCCCCTGATGAATTTGTAGGTACCCCACTGCTCACATCTCGCCAGGTTGAGTACAACCCGTCCACCACTACTCTCTGGAAAAGCCTAGGCCCAAGAATAGAATTACATTCCGAGACTAAAGACCTCTCTATGAGGAGACCCTGCTGTTTTGCTTGTTTTAAAGAAGCGGTCACTAGTTTGACTGCCTCCCTTGACTTCAACTAATGAAGTTGCATCAGGAGACTGACAGGATCTGGCCAAATCAGGGTTAGAAAATTAGTTACTAGGATGAAGTTAACACCCTGAGCTTCATTTGGAAGTTAATCAGTATCTAGGCTAATCTAGCAGATGGATGGCAGGTGTAATGTGCTCTCCATGTGAAACACTGCTTAGAAAGTGAGCAGCCACATTCTGTACTTGCTACAAAATGGATTTAGGGTTAAAGTAATCTAGGCTCAAGATGTTGAAGAAATAAAAGGCCATGATAGTGTCTGCAACTTCAAGAGTCTGAAATTTTATTAAGTACAGATGATACTTCTGATGGCACCTGCTGCTACCTGATCATCTAACAGGAGATGGCAATCCAACAACATTTCTACATCTGGTATACAGGGCAATTCAGGGAACAGGATCCTTTCCTTGCCTACACATCTTTTCACACCCACTGTCTCTTTCTCTGGCCCAGTAACTGTTTCATTGTTGAATACAAAGTGGCTCATAGCTGTCCTGTGATTGATGAGTATGTCCAAGTCTTTCTCTTCAGTCATTTCCAACTACATTAAAACAGAAATTTTCATTAGTCCTCCATAAGTGAAATATCTTGCAGTTGTATTATCCTGTGTCTATTACTGTAGGTCTTAAGGCCATGCCGCTCTTTCTATATGCTACCCCAGTTCTTTTCTATATGGCATATGCCTTTTAACTTCATATGAACAGTGCATGCTGTTATATTATGTGCTAGGATAATTAATGAAAATATCAAAAAAGTCTAGTCCCAAGATCAATTCTTGAGAAACTGCACTAACTTCTTTCTACCCTGATACTTCCTCTTTCAACACTATGTGTTATCTTCCCTTAGTTGTTTCACTTTGTAATTCTACTAATCCCCATCTTCTCCAGCCTAACTAATAATATCCTATATCATATGGCACTATTCTGAATACTTTATTAAAGTCCAGATAGATGTGATCTATAGTATTTCCTTTGTTTTGAAAAGCTTTACCTTAAAGACAGATATTAGGTTAGCTTGGTGTAGCCTGCCTTTGCTAAAATTCATGTTACATTTTATCCCAGTTTCTATGCTTAGTCTTTTTCATTATTCTTTCCTTTAAATCAAATGTATTTTAAATCCTTGTATACTACTGAAGTCAGATCAACAGGCCCATAGTTGTCCAGATCACTTATTTTTTACCTTTCTTAAATATAGACACTACATTTACTATTCTCTATTTTAATGATACCTGAATAAATGCTCTAAAGGTTGAGTTGATAGAGCTCTGTCAGTGCTTTGTGTGAGGTCTGGTCAGCTATGTGTGTCATAAAAACTCCTTCAGAATTGAGTCTCAGGGTGGGGAAGGAGAAGAGCACCTGACCTGCAAGTCTAATGTCGTCAGGATTTGGATCTTAGGAAATTCTGCTAGCAGAAACTTTGATGCCCAGGAAATTAAGGCCACAACAGAGAAGAGGTTCTGAGGACTAAATGTTGAACGTAAGTCACATTTAGGCACCTTAGTTCCTTTGTGGCCCAGCCATTGGTATTGTGCCTACATTGAAAGAACTACTCCTTAGGTGTTTATATTGAATCTATCACAGTAATATCTATGCAGAGATGATGTGCTCAAACTGGAACTCTTATTGTCATTGCAAACTTTCAACGTACTAATAGATGTAAGCCTTTGAGCCTCTTCAAATTGAATATTTTCTTTTTAAGATGTTGCACATGGAGGGTTAATTTCTGCATTCCTTACTACCATAATCAAGTTAACACTTGCCTAAGTTAAGCAGGTCATGGCTTCATTCTCTTTCTTTTGTTCCTTGATCTATAGAAAAATATTGTAATTCTTTATTTCTTACACAAGCAATTGAAAAAAAAATCAAACTTAAGCAGCATTTCAAATCCAGCATGCAATCCTCTCACTTTGCAGTCAGCCTGGCTTCCCAGGGGATGCTGCCCATGAGTTTCCTGAGCCAGTCAGAGTCTGATTTTCTAACATCCAGGGTCCTTATTTTGCTGCTCTCCAGCCTTCCTTTACTCAGATTCCTGAACTCAGTCACCTCATGGTCACTGCTGCACAAGGTTCCACCAACTAGTACATTCCCTACCAGTTCTTCCCTGTTTGTGAGCAGTTGGTCAGGGAAAGCACAGCCCCTGTTTGGCCTCTCCAGCACCTGCACCAGAAAATTGTCCTCTCACTTTGCAGTTAATTTCTGGTCCCAACTATCTGACACTTATTAACGTTTAATTCATCCATTCAAAATGCTGCTGAAGGGCTAGTGATGAACCTTCTTGGAAGCTCATCTTCCAGGACTGTCATTCTCCATCCACTGTTGCGCTGTGTATTTCACAGAAGGACGATTGGGTGTGTTTCTAAGGTGCCTATAGAGAGAGACTTTTCACACAGCAGTGTTCAACCTTGGCTGGCAGTTGTTAGCAGACAATAGGATGTTGGCAGGTAGGGAGTGGAACATGCTATATCTGTGGCCAGGCCTATAAGAAACCAGACAAGTAATCAGTTTGTGCTGATGGGGAAAAAAAAGGTAAATAGCACTTCTGCCATTTGAGAGAGAGAGAAAAGAAACCCAGCAGAGGCAAGGTGCCTATGTATTTCTGTTTCCCATCTATAGCTAGAGCTTGCAATGAGGGGCTGTCTCTGGACCCTAACACCCGTCTGGAGGTGCAAATCTACCCTGACTTCAGACTAACCCAACTATTTCCATCTCCATCTACCTGCCTGGGGCCGCAGCGATGCAGCTCCCAGCTGTCCGTAAGGCGCTGGGAGAGGGGAAGCTCTTTCATCCTTGCCGGGCTGGCTAGGTTGTCCTGGCAGTGCTCAGGGAACTTACTCCTGGGGCAACTCCATCTCCCCAGTGGAGTCGGGGGGACACGTGTGTGTATGTGTATGTGCGGGGGGGATCCGTGTATGTACACGTGTGTGTGCGCGTGCCCCCCACCCCCGCCAGCCAGGCAAGTCCTTTGAAGTTTCCTCTTGGTGAGCCCCCGGCCCCCGAGCGCGGCTCCCTTCCAGTCGCCGGAGCCCGACAACAAAGGAGCCCCGGGGCCAGGGGGAGCAGGGCCGTCCGGATGCGGTGAGACCCCCCCGGGAG